TTACGAGCTGTTAGGTGAGTGAAATTTGAGACGATCTTGAACGATCACGCGTGGTATTAATGCAAAATATCACGTACAAATCATGCTATTATTTGTTTATACTACTACCCGCAAAAGGTTTGTAATTTAATTTCACATGTAGGTATTTCAAATTAAGCTGAAATACGACTGCTCTAAGCCAATCAAATTGCAGAAATTTCTCATGTATTAGTATATGAGTTTCTTTTAATGATGTAATTTAGTTTTAAAGGTGTCCCCAATTAGTGCCAATAGGCACTAGAACGATTAGACACTTTTATAAAGGTTATGTGTGTATGTATGTATGTATGTATGTATGTATGTATGTATGTAGATGGAGACTGAAGAGGATAAAAAAAAAAACAACAACAACAAAAAACAACAAACAAACAAACAAACAAAAAAAACTTAATCAGTGCCAACTCGAATGCCAACCAGTTGTAGTACAGAGCTGTATCAGTTCTGCTTTGGCTAATTACAGCCAAAGCCCGCTTTACAGACACCCCATTATTACGGACAGTTTGCTTTGTCCTTGGGGAAACAGAGCCCTTATATTTTCTCTATAAATTCAACCCGAAAAAGGACACCCCGTTAAAACGGACACTTTCTATGGCCCCCTCAGAGTCCTTATTAACGGGGATTGACTGTATGCCAATTTGTGTCTATAACAGCTGAGACTCTTTTTCTTCAGAGTTAGTGGCGTCAGAAGAAGCTCTTGGACGGCGAGACGCGAACTTATGTCCCGGGGGGTAACCGGCCAAGTCGCCCGAAAGTCATCTTATCCGAAGTTATGTCGCCCGGAAGTTTTAGTAAAGTCGCCCGATCGCCCGAAATTTAAGTGAGGAGTGTATGTAGTTTATCTCATTGATGAAACGAAACAAGCGCGCTATTAGGGACTGGTCAAAAAGTATAGGGGGCGGGGATGGGCCGGAGCAGAGAGGGGGTGGGTCATGAGGTTTTGAGCCTTGTGCAAGGGGTGGGCAATTTTCAGCTACCCTTAGGGGGTGGGTCACCCTATTTTATTACATAGATAGGCACTAACTACTAACGAGACAGTTGACTACACTTGTTATATAAAACACAGCCAGCTGGAATTATTGCTAAAATACTCAAAAACCTGTTGTGCGAGAAAATACAAAGGGTGACAGGCCGCACATCTATACGGGCGTGGAACCCTTTTTTCTTTGGCTCTAAGAGCATGTCCTTTAATGATTTTCCTTTTTTGTAAGAAAATGATTGGTGGTTCCTTAAAAATTTATTGAAGTTATAGTTGGTTTGTATAAGATTCCATTTTTTCATTCAAGCTTCCTTTATAGTAGACCCTGAGGGCTGGTATTGTGTCAGGAAAGGCAATATTTCTTTTTCCTCCTTGTTGTTTTGTTTTATGAGTTTAGATAGTTTAGTTTAGATGAGTTTATGAGTTCTTATAGAAGGTTTTCTATCAAAGATTGTGGGTAGCCTCCGTCCATCAAGCGTTTTTTTTTTAAATTTGAATTATTTTCCTCAAAGGTTGTTTCTGAGGAGTTTATTCGTAGGATTCTCAAGGCTTCTCCTTTGACAAATCCTTTTTTAACATTTGGAGGGTGACACGAGGTGAAATGTGTGTGCAAGAAGGTTTCCGTTTGTTTAAAATGTGTCTTTGCATCAAGGATAGATTTTTCCTTGAATCTGGTGCCTCTGTTTACAACCGTGTCTAAAAACGCAGTGTCAGTGTCAAATGTTTCGAGCGTGAATTCAATAGTTGGGTGATGTAAGTTTGCTTGTTCAATGAAGCCTTTGATGTCAGATTTACTCATTTCCCATAGGGAAAAGATATCGTGTATGTAGCATTTCCAAACTGTCGTTCCAAAGACAGTTTTGCTTAGAGTTGTTGTTTCAATATATGTGATGAAAAATATTGGCAAAGGGATCAAAACTGCTGTCTTTGTGCCCATTGCAGTTCCATGGTTTTGTAGGTAGTGCTTTCCATTGAAGTGGAAGAAATTTTCTTTGAGGATTAATCTAAGCATTTCCGGCAAGTAATGTGTAGGAATGGGTTGTCTGTGTAGAAATTTTCATATGCTTTGTGACAGACAATTTCAATATACCCTCGTTTTGCTGTATATTTGTGTCAAGACTCATAACGTCCATCGAAACAAGAAACGTTCGGTTTTTCACATTTGTCTTTTCAGTGAAAGGTTTGATTTCTGTGATTTTGATATTGGTTGTAGCAGTGTATCAACAAATTTTGTCAAGCACAGAACAAGGTTTTATTGGATTGTTAAGAGGAAACCAAACATCCATGTTTTAACTAAGGGGTGGGTCACGCAATTTCCAACCTTGCTTTAGGGGTGGGTCAGTCATTTTTGTGCCGAAGGGAGGGGGCGGGCCATGTGTTTTTTATCAACCACATTTCCAAATGCTCCGGCCCATCCCCGCTTATACTTATTGACCAGTCCCTAAAGATGTTGGGATGTTGTTGAACATGCTAAATTTTGGGGCGACATAACTCTCAGCATTTTAAGCGACTTACCTTAAAATCTCAGGCGACGTAAGTCTGGTTTCGGGCGATGTAACTTCGGAAAATTTGACTTTCGGGCGACTTGACCGTAAAAAGGTTCGGAGAAACGAGTTTTCTCTTGCGCAGGACGTACTTATGTGCTTGTCCTTCGATTTCTAAGCCTTTTGCAGGCTTAATGTTGGGCTTTGACTTAAAAAAAAAAAAAACTACGAAAGGTTACTCGCAACCTAGATCATGCGGGGGGGTAGTTTGAACTTGATGGGGGTGGGGGGGGGTGTCTGATTACAAGTCATGTTTTTCGTTTATTTCCGCTCTTTTCTTAAATATCGTAACAACATTTCATTCAATTGGAAAAAGGCTCAATTGTTTTGGAGTCGTTAGTTCAATGAAGTTTGGAGAATCTTTGGATGATTTTTCGAATATAGTTCACGTATAAAAATAAGAGGGGAGGGGGGGGGGGTTGTTTAAAAATTTGGAAAATTGGAAAATGTTGGATTTAAAAATTAAAATATGAAGTGAATAATTAGTCGACAAATACCGGATAGTCCACCACCACAACAAGGTGCCTCTAAGTCCTTAAGCCCCTTAGTGGATTAGCTGGTAAATGTATATGCCTTTTCTGCCCTAATTTATTTCCTTCCCAAATCAACATTTTCCTCCCCCCCTCAAAAAAAAAGACAAAAACAAAAACACCCAGACTGCCCCCTTAACTCAGATAATATATTATGACTAGTAACTAAGTAAAAAAGTATTTATATGTCTATGCTTGATTAACACCAGATGCATACACATAATCAGCATTGCAACACACTTTTTTCCAACATATACTTGTTACAAAAAGGTGGCTTAAAAATATGCTGTTGAGAATATGTTTGTCTTCAAACAAGTACTTCCATAGTTGCATTCTTTAAAAGTGCAGAGGTTACATTTCCCCGCCCTTTGGGGGTAGTAGGGGATGACTGTAAACCGAATTAAAAGAGGCAAGAGGGGGGTTGGGAGGTTGTAATAGGGATAAAATCATTCAACTGGTGTAGACATAGCTGAGCAGTAGCGAAACTTACACAGAAATTAACACAATAATGTAATATATAAAGTTAACAAACCGTGTGAGGCTATATGTATAGTATATGAATATACATTTATGGTAAGTAAGAAATAAAAATGCAAATTAATGTTAATGCACAGGCAGACCACCCTTTGTTTGTGTGGTCCTTGTTGTTATTGAAATCTGAGAACCAATTTTTTTTTTTTTACTTTATAGAAGAATTACTGGTGAGCCAGAGGTGGCCGAGCATTTTGAAACGTGGGGTGGGGGGGGGCTCATCTTCCACTCAGCCACACGCATACCACTACTTAAATTTTCTAAAATGCCCTCTGTGTTGTTTGTTGACACAAGCAATCTTCACAATGTCTAGTGTGTCCGTAATCAATTTGTGACAATGCATCAAGAGGCAGTTGTTCAGGCAGCATTACTTCATTGTGCTCCATAAAATAATTTAAATGTGTAGCAGTATTAGAAGGATAGTCTTAGACACATTTTGCAGGTATTTTAGACGAACTAAATGTCAAATCTTCCTAAGGAACAATTGCCCCCTAGACCCCGTGCACAGTATGGTCATGCTTTAGCGTTCGGTTCAGTAAAAAGAAAGCGTCAAGTTACATATACCTCGCCATAGTGATGAGAAGGCAAATGACTTAATATATGTATGGGGTTGTGGAAAAGATATGGGAGAACTGAGAAGTTAGGATGGCTTATTTCCATGCATATAAGGTGCAAATATCTTGTCAAGCACCGGCAATGCCGCCAATTGAAATACTACCATCGATTTCGGTGTGCGCATCAAGCGTTTAAACAACACAAGGCTCGTGTGTGCGCTTGCCATACTCTGCAGACTGGCTGTTCTCCTCATTTAAAAAAAAAGTACTTCTAGCCGCCCGGTTCAAATAATTATCTCGCAAAATTACATAACCCTTTAACAGCTCGGGGAAGCGAAAAAAAAAAACAAAAACAACAACAACAACAAAAAAACATGACACATGATTAAGTTAACTTTGTTTCTACACTTACCTTCAAATCGGTTGCAAATAGCAGCCGTTGTTTCGTATAATGCTCATCAGATTTTCCTCTTGCCGCCGCCGCCATATTAGAAAGCGAAAAGACCCTGGGGACGAGATGACGAGGTTGACTTCACGCACGTGCCGGAGGTTCGAATGACACACTTTGCATGTGCCCCCTCCGGGCCGAAACGCCACTTTACCTCTGCTCCACAGCTCTCCAATATAGTGCTAGATTGTTTCCTTTATTGCTGTTAAGTCTAGAGAACCACTTTAGCGACCTACCTGTAATAATCCAAACGAATGTATCCCTTATGAGCGACAAAAAAAGTAGTCGTTTCACCGAAGCACCCCCACCCCACCCACCCTTGACTAATTTTGTAGCGTTGTATTGTTGACGTCGATCGTATCGTTTGTTCAGCGGTCCAAAGGTGATCGCGAGCGAGAGTGAGAACGGTAGAAAAACTTTTCTCTGGAATCATGAGTTCTCCGACGCTGAGACAGAGATCATCCTCTAAAAAAGTGGAAAAGAATTCGGAGACCAAGCATAAAACGAATCTTGAAAATATTTATGCAAAGCCGTAAGTCTGAAGTTTGAGCTTTTGAAGATGATGACTTCATGCTTGTGGAGTCCAAGTTGATTCTTTCGAATGTCGTTAATCCAGGGTTCACACGGTTGAAGAATCACTTCTAACCTCAACGAGCGGTTTTGAAAACTACAGAGGAATAGTGAACTTATGTCTCGTTCTACTGGTAAGAAAAAAAAAAGATACATGTATCGCAGATGACTTTTTGGTGATGCAAGAATTATAATAAGGCGCATACACTGTAAATTTTACATATCTGCTTAAGCTTAAATCTTTTTCGGATTGTTAATCTGTCTAAATTACCTTGTCAGGCTACTTCTGGAGAGCACATTCGTTGATTTTGTTAACCTCTGATTAATGATTAAGTGTTCTCTTTCATCCTGGAGACTAAAATTGCTTTGTAATTTGATAATAGACAATATATTCTGCAGCATTAGGTACAGTAAATTATAGACCAGCTGTATGCTAGATTAGTGCAAGCTCTTTTGGGCTACGTTATGGACAGATTAGCCTGCGAAAGCAGCTGTTTCTCCACGCTCCTCGCCGCTGGGGACGTTTCGCGAGGAGGAACGTCTGCGACTCAGCGACAGAAATTCCATACTGATGACGTAAAATCTGTCCAAAATCAAGTCAGAAGCACTGATTGGACGATGGAGTAGTTACATTGTTTTGGCTATTGTTCAGGAACAACAGTCAAAAGACATTTTAAGGCCACAAAGGTCAAATGTAAACGTGATAAGTTCATAATAAAACAGTCAATATTTGTGGAATATATTCTTCTCTGGAAGAAGCATTTGGGTTTTGCTGGAGCTCATTCTCAGATGAACACAATACTTTACCAAAATCGACTAAGAGAAATTGAACAAATTTGCATTTGGAACCTAATGACTACCAGATTTATTACGTAAACATTGATTTACATCGTCAGTATGGAATTTCTGTTACTGAGTCGCAGACATTTCCTCCTCGCAAAAAGTTCCCATTGGCAAAGAGCGAGGAGAAACAGCTGTTTTTGCAGGCTATGGACAGATTTTCAAACCCGTTTTGTATTAGAGGACCTCTATAATGTCTTAAAAGTCTGTGAAGAGTGTGAATCAGACACATGTAGCTTCAGACATTTTAATAATATATTCATTTGATGTTTTATATGCTTCTGCTTGATTTTCCATATTTATAGTAGACTTACAAGAGATATTAGACATCTTGTAGTATAATGTGTTAGACGGTCTGTAATATATTAGCCTGTAACACAGACAAAGCTAAACTCTGGTTAAGTCCGTCTGCAAAACAGCGCCGAAATCATTGTTCTGGGCCCCCACCCGTGTAGCAGGATTTGAGTATGCACCTGTTAGGAAGGCCATTGTTGATTTGCCAATCAGGTTAAAAGGATATTCGAAATGCACATGGGGTAATTCATTGAGTCTGTTGGGGGCGCAGAACAAGGATATCAGCGTTGCTTCATAGGCATTTTTAACCAGGTTCGAATTAGGTCTGCAATGCAGGCTGGTAGTACAGTAGAACCCCGGAAACTCAAACTCTGAAGGTCAATGAAAAACAATTCAAGTTAGTGGCGAATTTGAGTTATCGGGGTAAAATTCAGTGATTTCAACACTTGATTCTAGTTTACTTTCAGCCAATTTTCATATAAATTAGCAGTGGTCATATAAAAAAAAAATTGGATCCACAGTAAGGATTCTGTCTTCAAGGTATTAATCACTGTGGTTTAAATTTCACATGGGACTCTGTTTTTCTTGAATCTCAGTTGGACCATTTGAAAAGTTCATTAATTTGTGCATTAGAAGTATTTTTAATAATTTTGTGGGGAGTGAATGTGGTACAATAATATTTTATGCTTGGGTAAAATGTTATTTTCCTTTCTTTCAATTTCATTATCATTTACCCTTCCTTTCCAAAGGGAAATTCACATAATATTTGAACCAATGATCAAGCTGGGCCACATCCACAGTTCCTCTCAAAAGGGATAATGTAGCGGTTATTTCAAGTTATAGGTGACTGTTTTTTTTCTTTTAATTTCAGATTTTGTCAAATTTTCGAGTGGCTTTGGACAATTTACTCAAGTAAGTTTGTTTGTTATTTCCCCCTTTTAATTTTTGTTTTCTCACGTTTGCTAAGCATTTTTCAGAGTTATCATATTAAGTGCATATGCATCATTATGGTAATTCTCTAAAATAGATAAAGTAATATGATGCTTCTTGCATGTTCCATTATGTATTTAGATATGGGTTGCTTATTGACCCTTTACAAGTAGCCACAATATTTTTGGAAGATCCTTACCGATGGCCTTCAACTTCACTGGTGATTTGTAAGTCTAAAAAGTTTTCTTTTCTTGGTGTCTAGAAAACTTGCATAATTGACAGAGCTATTAGCTTTCTATGTTTTGTATTCAATGTTATATTGTTAAGGACTACATGTACCTAAATGCCTTTTATATTATATTTTTGTAGTTTCAAATGTTTTCATACAGTTCTCATTTTGGGTGGAAAAGCTGTTAGCCAAAGTGAGTATGGGTACATGTTATTGTTTGCTGCCCTATATATACCTTATAAATTACACTTCCATGTGTAGGCTGAGTCAATAAACTCATACTAAAATTATGCACATAATTATTGTTTTTGGGATAACACATATAAAGCCATTGACAGCAGTACTGTGACTATGATTATTGTAAAGTAAATGTCTGTAAAGAATAGCACTTATAATACATAAATTATTCCAGTTTCCATGACTTGTGCGAGCGATTTCCCTTGGCTCTTTAAGCTTACCGGCCTATAGTCAACCTACATGATTTTACCCTATCATGCTCAGCTGAAACTGAAGTTACACAACCCTCCAAGTTAAAGTTTTTGCTTGGTCGCCACATGGCCACCAACTCTTTTGGTTTAGGAAGACTTTTTTACAAATCAAGTCACCAGCTCCAACATTTTGGGCACCACGGCGACCAAAATGGTCGCAAGTTGGAGGGTTGTTACAGTAACCATACCAGTTAGAGTATATTATATCCAAGTGCAATAAGTAGTACATGTATACATGCTGTTCACCAACAGCACCCCACCTTCTCCACTCATCCTATTTATACCCAAATAACAGAGTTGGCAGGTCATGTCCCCACCCACTAGACTCCTGATGGACCATGCTCAAGTATTGTTTTTTTCACGGGTGCAGTGGAACCTCAATTTAATGAACTTCTGTATAACAAAGTCCTCGGTATTACAAATGATATCCCCGCAGCCCCAGTAATAGTAAAATATTTGGAAAAGAACGTCAATGTAACAGAACCTCCTTATAGTGAACATATTAGGCTGATTTAGCAACAGGACGGGAACGTCAGTTGACGACGGGAAAGTGCGCGGAAAGGACTAAACACGACTTCCGGTGCCCAATTTGCCGCTCTGCCATTGGTCAAGCCAGTTGTCTGATATGCGCGCGCCGTCGTCAACTGACGTTCCCATTCTGTTGCTAAATCAGCCTATTTTGTTTTTCCCCTGGCCCTTTGGGTGAGTCTTGTTCGCTTTCATGTAAACAAAGCTCATGCTTTGAAAACGAAAATGCTCGCTTCTGGGCTGTTGATAGTCCATTTGAACTTGCTTTTTAGAAGTGAAGGCGAGATGTATATATGTAAAAGCGATGAAAAAGTGAACAACAACGAAACAACTCATACTAGAAACAACTGCATTTATATTGCTCGTGCACAGCAGTGTACAGCCGTAATTCCTTTGATTTTCCAGATTAGCCAAAGGATCGTTAATACTAACAATGCTCATGTCATTTAAAGGCAAAACATAAGCATTCACTATCATTGGCTCACCTGCAATAAATTAACCTTTTAAAAGTTAGTAAAGTGATGTCACAAAAGACCACAGTTTATTGTAAGATTTTAAAACTACACTTTTATATTCTTTTTTAAAGGGCAAAATATCTGAGACGCTGGGAAAATATTTGCACATTTTCAATTTACTCTGTACCCTGGTTGTACCTTGCACTGTTGTCTTAACTTATCAACCACCGCCATGTAAGTGCCTTGATTGAATACCAGTGTACTTTTAAATAATACTTTTAATTAATATGCCAGACTTGAACTATATATTTAACCTGTATACGATAATTATCAGCACAGTCAAAATGTTTTACATTTAAGGCAGAATAACCAAACATGAATGTGGCAATTTTGGTTGTTAGTAGTTGGGCCTAATCGTTGAGTTAGAAGGCAAATATTTCACTGCAAGCGCTATCAGCAAAATTGCTGGCCATGCCGGCCCATTCACTCTCTGGTCACTAAGTACAGGATGGCCTCTCACCAGGAGGCTGCTTAATTGAGGTTTGACCATAATTTTGGATTCAGAATTCGCTTCAGTCTTTAATTTGGATCGGAAATGGCAAAGAGAAAAAGTCTTAAGACTGCACTGAATGTGAGCATACAACAACTACATGTATGCAAAAAAAAAATCATTTTTAAGTTTTATTATTCACTGAACTCACTCTGTCTCCATATTGGCTAAGAGCCTGCAGTAAATTTTGGAAATCATTGCAGCCTACAGATTAGTCAGCTAGCTGCTAGCAGATAACTGACCAATATGTGGGTTGCGCGCACGAATGCATCGTTTCCAAGAGCAATGTCAAACTGTGTTCGGTGCGACGGAATGTTTTCGTTATTTTATTCTAAGCAGTGTGTATAATAAAACAATTACTAGTTTCGGTTTTTGCGTTATGTGGAATAATTAAGGTCGAGATAAGTGTTGTAAGCCAAAGCGTTGATTATTCCGGGTATCGCAACAACCGACAATCATCCAATAATGTTTGTTTTTATTATATGGAGGAGAGTGTTTTACTGGGAACTAAACCACTCGTAGATTCCATACGCCACTTCATCCGGGACCCGAGTGGCGTATTTTCCGTATGTCACCTTTGTGAGTGTCGTATCGTTCAGTGACGTCACGATTCCCGCCTTTTGCTTTTGTTGAACTGGTTTCTCCAAATAATACAAGACACGCCTGAGATACCCCTCCCTTCCTTTTGATAGTCTCCCCTACCCCACCCGTACAATCCGTAGAGGCGTACGTACGTACGTACGTACGCTCGGTCAATCACGTGACAACCAAAGGAAAAGAGGTTAACCATAATCTATGGGTATGGGGCTCTGTCCCGCGCGCGTGGGAGCCCCGCTAAAAAGAACATTACACGTTGGCTCGAAGATATGAATTTTATGTTCTTGCCACGAGAACATAAAATTCATATCTTCGAGCCACCGTGTAATATCCTCTATATAACTCTTCATTCTGGTGTGTTGTTTGTAGGGGCAGCACATTTTGCAGTCTCGTGGTACACGGTTGTGTGGTTAAAGCTAATAAGTTATATCAGTGTCAACATGTGGAACAGGTTGGGATTAGTCAACAGCCTAAGCAAAAGTGGTGAGTACAGAATTTTAAATCGTAGGAAACTATTGTATACCTTTAAAATGTTGTATAGCCAGCTCTCGCCTTCGGAACTTCCTGCTAATACCTACGGCAGCGGAAGCCTCGGCAAAAATCACAGACCGCCTTTTTCTGAAATATTAGTCTCGTTGTTACAGACTTTTAACTATTTACGGTCGTTTCGCCTACAAGTCGTTTCGCCAACATGATAGGTCAGTTTCCCAATTTCTTTAACATTATCAATGGCTCAAAGAACGAGTTATACATATGTATTGGACTTTTACTTGTCATAACTAAAAAACGAGCTATATACATGCGTAGCGACCGTTTTGTTTCGTAAAGCGTTTGTGAACGGGACGTTAGCGAAATTACATGTACGCATTGGTGAAACGACCGTTCACCGTTTTAAGTCTCCTTGTTACGGATTCAACATTAAGACACAACGGAAAAAAATCAGCTGTTTTTTTGTCGTCTTATTTGCCTTTGTGGGTCGGATTTACCATTCTCTTGTGGCGCATTAACTAAAATTGCTGTAAATGTCAGTACCTTTTCATCAAGAGAGGATAAAGCTGTCTTGATTTCATGTAACTGTCACCCCACTTGGTATCCGGTCGTTTCGCCGGACAGTGATCGCAGGTTACCCGACGGCAGTTCGCCGTTTTTTCTTTCTTTCTTTCTTTCTTTCTTTCTTGTTTTTTACTGTTAATTGTTTCTTTGCTCATTCAAGATGCAGATGGTAAAAATGATGTCTCGAAGAAGTCACACATTAACCTAGTGAAGTACCCTGACAATTTAAACCAGAAAGGTGAGAGCCACAATTGATTTCTCTTGTAAACCGCGAGGCGCAAACCAGTCTAAGCAGTGGATAGCAGCGTTATCTACCTTTTGAACAAATGGAGCCTGGAGGAAATGGCGGATGGTGTCTCACAAATATGCAAAGATGAAATCTCTGAACTACTGCCCCCTTGGAGAGTGTTATCCACCGAGGTTGGACCCTCTTCGACCTGCATAATTTTATTCCTCGTATCACACTTAGCCTCATCCTATAATTGATAATTATTAATTTCTGTTACTCTGTCTGTTTCAGATCTCTATTATTTCATGGTAGCTCCCACTCTGTGCTACGAACTTAATTTTCCCAGGAATGATAGAATACGAAAGAGATTCCTCATGAGAAGGATAGCAGAGTTTGTAAGCCTCTTTTTATCATCGTTTCAAAAATTTATTTAATATTCAGTAGTCATAATTATACTCCAGTTAAATGCATGAATTTAATAGCGCGTAAGGGCCTTTTTCCCCCGCGGTAAAATTCATCGAAATGAAAAGTAAGGGAGGGATTTGAATAGGATTTGATGCTGTTTTAAATGATACAAGACTTGCGTATGATTTTTTATTGCAGTTCTTCCTTCTTGGAATTATCGTTGGATTAGTTCAACAGGTAATTTGTAATAATGATAATGATATTGATAATATCTTTATTACAAAACCTCAATTAAAATCCTATTTACAATCAACTTGCTGTTACAGAAGATCTAATTAATTCATCAAAACACTATCTACAATTCCTTCATTAGAGAACAAAAACAATCCTATATATAATAAGTGAAGAAAGAAAAAACTATTCATTTACAAATTCTAAAAAATAGAAGCAACTTAACCTTACATAAAAGAAGAGGAAATAGATATAATTAATAATAAAAGTTCAAAATTCTATAAAATTAAGAATTCCATTATGCAGAGATATTAAGATCATACAATCGAATTATACTAATGACGGCTAAACCAGTGTCCATAAAAAGCCCTAAGTAAAAGCATATAGACACGTATTTCAGATATCCGCACTAGCGGCATTCATTTTACAGTCTAATGATTGCTCTATCTTGCTACGAAACGGCGTTCGCGAACCTCTGACGCATGCATGTACCGATCTTAAGAGTTCAAACGAGATCTGTGTCCTGAGCCAAGTGATAACAACATGATAAGGCTCGGTGTCTTTCTGAGCTATCTTGTCTGCAAGATGCTTTAAGAAACGCTGACACTCGTTTCCCATTCCGCCATTGGTTCCAAACACTAAAGGCGTAAACGAACCCATTTCTACATCTAACACCCGCTGCTGGTACTTGCGCTTCTTCTCTTCTTCTTGCTCTTTGAACACTTCCGATGTTGGCTTGCTCTGGTAACACTTCGAGTTGACGTGCGTAACTCTAACATCAAAAAATGCCGTAACTCCTCTTGCCCAGAAACCTCCCGCTTTGATGTCCAACCTTGCCTCAGAACTTGTAACAGCGCTCCTCAGATGAAATCGCTCGTTGTCCAGGGGTTGAAGGCGTGGTTCGATTTCGACATTATTGCAGATCTTGTCGATGAATGTCGTTAACAAGTTCCGTACACCGTCATGTCTCTGCGCTACAAACGCCCCCTTTTTACAAGAGAGGGCGTGACTAACGGTGAATTTATCCCCACATATGCAATGACTTTTTATTTTTATTTTTATTTATTTTTATTTTTATTTTATTTTTATTTTATTTTATTTTATTTTATTTTATAATCACACTTGGCATTCACTTACAATACAGCTACACGGTACTTACTTACAACAAGACTACAAAATTTACTTACGTTACAGCTTTACTACTTACTTGTTTGCTACTTACTTACATTAAAATACCTAAAACTAGTTTACAACAAACAAAAGGACTACTAAAGACAATAAATAAATGAAAAGAAAAGAAAAGAAAAGAGAAGAGAAGAAAGAAAAAAAAAAGGCGACTCCTCTGCCTAAAACGGTTTTTAGCAAGAACTACTTGAGATAACATTGACAACAATTGCTAATATTAATAAGAAATCATAAATATGCATAATTAGATGATTAATAAGATGATTAATAAACAGTGCGGAAAGATATGTGAAATAGATACTTTAATTAAGAAATATTGGCGGTATGTCTAGCTCTCAATTGCACTTTGGCCTTGGTTCATTTATAGAAAATGGATACATAGGAGAGCTTTTATTTTACCAAAAGCTATGTAATGTTGAGAAGTGGACGTAAAGGATTCCATTTCTTAGAAGTTGCATCAATGTTGTTGGACTCTGTGTAAAACTGCGATTTAAGGGACATAAGAAAAGTTGTTAAATTCGGAATTTTCTGGTTGACCCTGCAGCTCCATATATAATATCTTGCCAGGAGAAAGCAGAAATTTAGTTGAAGTGCAAACTTGGAGGTGTCTGGTTTCAGGCCCAGATATACAGCAGTGTATTTTGGATAATCTATCGTTATTAGATTGATCTGCTTTAGTTTTTCAGTCAAATTTTCCCAAAAGGTGGCTACTATTGTACAGTTCCAGAAGAGGTGGATTAGGTTTTCGGGATGGATGGTACAGAAAGAGCAGTTCGGGTCCTGCTTTATATCGATTTTTGTTAGGAAAAGGTTCGTTGGTAAAATTCGGTGAAGGAATCTAAATTGAAAGTTTACAAGTTTTGTGCTTTTTGTGCACCTAACTGCCAGACAATAGGCGCTGGTCCAGTCAGCAGAGCATCTTTGGTCGGATTTAATGCTGTCATTCCATTTCTCTTGGCTCTTAAACGGTACAGTGCTTTTTGGAAGAGAGGAGCTTCTGGTATACAACTCTGTTCACTTTATCGTTCTTGAAAAAAGTCTCGGAGAAGGTCTCGGGGCAGGTATTGGGAATGTCTGTGCTACTAGGTTCTTTACTAAGAAAGTTAGTGTTATAATGGTGTCGAAGGGCAGAAATTAAGCCGAAGTACTTTATGGGTTGTATTTGTATTTTGTAAGTGCTGATAAAATCTGCTAGGGGGAGAAAATTCCGCGAGTCTGTCATTAAGTGGGCTACCTTAGTGATTCCATGCAGGAAAAGATGTTTGTAGAAGACCGGTCTGTTTTCGATCCTAATCAGCGAATTATGCCATATATGTTGTTCAAGGAATTGCTGCTCGGTTTTGATGTTAGCATCAAAATTAATTTCTGACCATATTTCTAAAATTTCTTGTAGAAATGGGTCTTGGACCGATATCGACTTTGAAATGTCACGTTTGTGTAAATTACATGTGAAGACTAGTTTGCCGCCGTACTTCTTAAGTTCTACTTCAAAAAAGCATTTCCATTTTCCGCAGTTAGAGTCGTCGAGGTATTTTTTGATCCAAACAGTCTTGAGCGATTTGGTAAATGAAGCGATGTCAATCATTTTTAACCCTCCATTGTTATAGTCGTTTGTCATGACACTTCGCTTAATCTTATCGCACTTATTGTTCCAAAGAAAGCTGAAGAAAAGATCGTTTATTTCTTTGATAATTTTATGATTTGTCGGCAGCGGAGCTAAAATATACGTAAGTTGAGATGCCGCTAAGCTTTTAATAACTTGGATTTTGCCGAGTAACGATTTAGCCGCCTATATTTCCAATTGCTTAATATGTTTTTAATTTTGTCCGCTTTTTCCCTATAGTTTAAGCTTAATGTGATATCAGGATAGGTAGAAAGCCAAACGCCAAGGACCTTAACTTTGTTTTCTGGCCATTTAAAATTCTTCTCGGGAAGAAGTTTTTCCTTATTTCCTGCCATTGATCCAATCCATAGAGCTTCAGTCTTTTTACTGTTGAGTCTGAGACCAGACATACTACTAAAAGTCTCGATCATCTTAAGTGTGGCGGATAATGAATCTCTAGTACCGTTAAGAATGAAAGTTGTGTCATCTGCATACTGGCTAATTTTAATTTCTGAGTTGTTTACAGATATTCCTTTAATATTCTTGTTCGATCTGGTTGCTTTATATGCAATGACTTGGTAAATCGACTAAGGGCAAGTCATAACGCAAGCGTAGCGAGTCTCTGAACTCTTGCTTGTTGAGGGCTAAACCTTTGTCTGCGAGAGGCATCGCATTCAGCCAAGAACTTGCGCCCTTGTCCCTCGATTGATTAACCAGACGCAGCAGGCCTGGGGAGAGGCTTGAATCAATGCTATCCATTTTCTCTTTGGCACTTGTTCTCTTAAGTGATTGTTGATGCCTCTTTAGCTCATCCGTAGATCTTTCTCCTGGCACCATGATGGAACTCTGTGAAGTAATAGAATCTACGTGCGCGGTGGTTATTAGTCTCGAGGCAGCAAACTGCTGCGGTGCCTCGGATTTCAGATCAGGAATGCCTAGACCCCCTTGACCTGTTGCTAAGGTAACAAGTCTGCGCACCTCGTTAGGGAGAAGCTCTGATTGACCGAACAAAGTTGAGAGTAGTAAATCTTCAATCACTTCCTGGATTGGATCGACATAAACTTCAAACGATTCAATCGTGCGCATGAAGTAGGTGAACTTCGACTTGTAGCCTTTTGTGAAAGCAATATACGTCGCATGGGGCTGGCTCTTCGCTATTTCAGAGAGACGTTCGATTTCCTCTTTCCATGCACGAACCTTCTCCTCACAATACTGATCTTTGTATTCTTGCGACGCAATAACTGCTCCCAGATGGCGCTGACCTTCAGTCGTTATGTTGACTTCCTCTCCAAACACCCTCTTTGCTTCCTCCGCGAGTTCCCTAGACTTCACAATAAGCCAGCTCTTTGTCCCTTCACAAGGTAACCAAACTTTTGACCTTCCTTACTCAATTGCCTGTACCAGTTGTATAACTGCACTATACTCCCTCCTCCAGCTGAGTCGTCTGCAAGCCACACCTGTTTAACCAATGGGCAATGATCCCTCAAATTCTGTATCATTATGGATGTATTAAGTGCGTACCATGGCATCGCTAGCGGATCTCCTAGTGTGGTGCCTTCTCGAGAAAGTATTTCACCTCCCCCACAAATAAACAGTCTAGATGGGCTTCTATATGTGTTAATAACATAGAGCGCCATTTCTTTGCACATGATCTGGATATTGTGTAAGGCCGCTGACCTATTCATTTGGTTAAAAGCGTTACTAGCATCAATTAGCAATATTCCATCTGTTCCTTCTTCAAAAAACACTTGACTCATTGCATGGATCGCAGCCTCCGCTCCTGCATTATGACCAGCGCAAACTTGTAGGGGACCCGCCGCTTCTTTTATTTCCTCCTTTAAGAAACCGCTGACCGTTTTCCCCACTATTCTTCTTAGTACCTCTCCAACACCAATTGGTCTGATTCCCGGGTTCTTGTCAAGCGGGATAAGCCTGCAGGACGTAAAGGCTTCAAGTAAGGATGGGTGGTACGATTTCCTTAGCAGATTTCTTGTGAACACGGCTAGCTCTTCTCTCAATATTTTGCCCTCGGTCTTGAAATTCTTAGAGCACAGGATTCTCTTATACAGCTCTGCGTCCATTCCAGATGGTCCGGCTGAGCCCTTGGTTTTACTTGCCGAGTTGTAGATCGATTCTTCGTCTATGAGGTCATAAACATTTGGCGGATTATAATCAATTGGGCCATGTAACAAACTCTCCTCTGCGATATCAGCTGCCTGTGGGTGCTTGTCCTGTAGCCCTTGCAGGACATCTGGCGATAGGTCGAGCAGACCGGACGAGCTCTCGTTATCTAGGAGTTTCATTGCAGCTGTCAATTTTCCTTGCAGAACCAGCTTTGAGAAGGCTTTGGATATGTCTTCAACCTTTCTAGGTTTCTTGGAATTCACAAATTTCCCTTGAAAGAATCTCTCTTCTTTAAGCAGCAAATCAATGTCCCCTTGTTTCCAGAGTGCTAATCGACGCTCTATAATATTAATAGTAATAATAATAATAATAATAATAATAATAATAATAATAATAATAATAAATGTTTAGAGGCTGAGTTAGAGAACGGGGGTTTGGAATTATGCATTGGCCACGTGATTATACATATCATTATAAAATATCATTCATATTTTTAACTTATTTGCTCCTTATTGGTATTATTTTGTAGTGGATAGTTCCTACCGTGAATAACTCCCTTAAAACTCT